TAGTAGTAGTAGTAGTCGTCGTAGTGGTAGTAGTAGTAGTAGTAGTCGTAGTAGTAGTGGTAGTGGTAGTAGTAGTAGTGCTACTAGTAGTAGTAGTAGTAGTAGTAGTAGTAGTAGTAGTAGTAGTAGTGGTAGTGGTAGTGGTAGTGGTAGTAGTAGTAGTAGTAGTAGTAGTAGTGCTAGTAGTAGTAGTAGTAGTAGTAGTAGTAGTAGTAGTGGTAGTAGTAGTAGTAGTAGTACTAGTAGTACTAGTAGTCCTAGTAGTCGTGGTAGTCGTGGTAGTCGTGGTAGTAGCAGTAGTAGTAGTAGTAGAGGTAGTAGTAGTAATAGTAGTAGTAGTAGTAGTGGTAGTGGTAGTGGTAGTGGTAGTAGTAGTAGTGGTTGTGGGCTCGGGTTGACTGGGGGGGGGGGGTTCTGTTGCCCAACTAGACCATTGGGGGGAAATCAATTTTCGGAGACTTTGTGGGCTCGGATTAGCTAGGGGAGTTTATTAATTTTGTGTTTGCATTAGGTGGAAAACATTGCTATTAGGTTGGAGGCCATCGCTACCAGGAGCAAGAAGCTACTAGTACCTTTTAAGTTGGTTGAAGTATTTTGTGGCCAGCCTGGGGAATTTCATGGTTTCACGGAAGTGGAGTGGCCCTTTGGAGCGGAGATAAAAGATTATAAAAGATTTGGATGATGAAACTGGTTGTGTTCCTTTGTGATGTGATGATCAGAACTATATGAGGATGTGGGCAAAGAAGATCGAAGAAGTGTGATGGGCACAGGAAGACCAAAGTGATTGTTGAATTCCAATCCCAGACTTGTGACGGAGGTCCAAAAAGGCCGCCAAAGGTAAGGGTTGAAGTTGAAGGGAAAAACAAATGTTTCAGAAATGAATGCATCAACTTCACTGAGTTTTGCAAAGGCTCCAGTTGGAAGGACGCCCTTTTATTTGAGTCTGATGAGTCTGATCAAGTTGCCAACCTCTACCTCTTCCCCCTCCCAAAGGAGAAAACGCTACTCCGAGTTTCAGTGTGTTCTTTTTCCGTGTGATGGAGCTCCCTCGCGGGTGCAACCACAGTGGGCAGGTTGGTGGAGTCCAAGAAATCCTTCTCCCAAGCCAAGAGCTCCACAGTCGCAACATGGGTCGATTGGCCCGGGTGGGAGAGATCGGAGCACCACGATCCGTCGATGAGACAGGGAACAGGGCGTGGTTCGCCGTTCAAGTAGGGGTGTGGGGAATCGGCAGGATGCTGAGGCGAAACCAAGTCAATCCAATTCCACCCAAATAACCTTCATATTATCAAGTATATAGCATATTGTATAGCATATTAATAGATGGCAGTTTAAACCACATAGAACCACTTGCTTAGCACGTGTTTGATGGGGCACATATTATTTGTTCTATTCGAGGCCAGAGCGGAAGTTCAGTGCAGACTTTTAACAATCCGACCGCTTTGCTAGAGGTGTGTGTTTTCATCAACTGCAAATATCTCTTCTTAAAATGCTGACGACCCGCTGCCTTTAGCGTGGCTGAAGATCGCAGAAGTAGTACACCATATTCACATATTTGCACTGCAGACTCGTCGTCTGGTCCTCTGTAGTATGCAGTAGAGAGTAGAAGAGACATAAAAGAAGAGAGAAGAGATGCGCTCGATTCAAGTGAGTACCCAAGAAGGCATGCCTACTTCTACGATAAACACGACGAGTGTGCCGGTTCAACATGGTTCAATTAACTATACTAACTATATACTATCAAGCATTCAGGGATACCAAGAGGAGACTTGATGATTGCAGCGGATCAAGATCTTTATTTCTTCCAGGTGTTTCGGAAAAACCAATCAGATCGGCGATCGGATCCGCCTAGGACGTCTCGACTTGACCGGAAGTCCTCCTCGACTCGCGCGCGCGTTCTCGTGCGTTCTGGTTCAGGTTACTTGGAGATTCCAGAGGCTCTGTGGCACTTTTACGAAGTCCTGGGCGCCGACAGGCCCAGCACCACCCAGCCGACCGGGCGAGAAAAAACAAATATTGACTCTGTTTGGGGTCGATTAGTGACCCATCCCCGATTAATGTCTGCACCTTTGGCTGATTTGATTAACATCATCTGTAATAGTTTAATTTAATGTCTACGTTTTTCATTCTTAGTTAATATAGTGAATTCATTTATTTAGGTCCTAAGTCCTAAGTATTGATTTCCTTCTAATTTATTTTGATTCCTATTGGATTATTTTAAAAATATGTGTGCTTTGAATTTCTACAATTAGATCTAATTGTGTATTTCCTTTTGATTTCTATTGATTACCTTTGAATGCGTGCGTGCATTTGATTAACCATGTTTTTAATGTCATATCAACATATTACAAACATTGCAGTCTATTCCACTTTCAAAGAGTGTTGCCCAGTATACTAGAAATCTTGAATAACATCACCCACTACAAAAATGTGTTGTCTTTATATTGGTCTTTTTACTAAAACACCTCCTGCAATAATGTTTGCGCGTTTCATGTTCAATTTACGATATTACTGTATATAGTTTTAATTCCATTTGACTTCCCCTTCCCCTTGATTCAATTCCCATTAGATTTCCTTTTGATTCCTATTGATTTCCTTTTGATTCCTGTCAATTTTTCCAAATTCATTCGTAATTCTGGAGGGTCATGGATTTGACTGGGGGGGAGGGGGGAGGGAAACAGTAATAAAGAAGAGTCAACATTATGTTCTTTTTGTTCTTTTTTCAACGGGATTTGTTTTGGACGAAGCGTGTCAAGCTCGGTGGTGCTGTTTGTTTCTTTTGCCCAGTGCTCGGGCTGGTGTTTGTGTGTGTGTCAAGTCCTGTCCCTAAGGACCTCTGACACCACTAGACTGTAACTAGATCTCTAAATTCTACTGTACAGTGATGCAGGGGGACACGGCATTTCACTGGGACTGTGTCCAATGAAGCTACCAGTGAAATGGGATATCCAGCTTGGCCAGCTGGACGTACGTGCTTTGATTTTTACTGTAAGTACCTAGAACTCTAAGTAAAGGTCAAGCTGTCTCATGCGCTGCTTCGCTGTAATTAGTTCAGTCAAGTTCTAAGCTGCAGTAACTCGGGAATTTCACAACTGATTTAGCTCTTGCGAGCATGGATCTAAGTGTGTGTGTGTGTGTAAATTTCGGTTCGGGGGGGTACGAGGGAATAATACGTATAATGTGAACCTACTGATCTTTGAGTGCTTTATAATGCCCTACATAGTTATTAACGCACATATATATATACTTGAATACTTAAACCGTTTTCAGTTAGGGGACCAGGTCAGTGGTCAAGTGCTTCATCCTCCACGAGATCGCGTCAGCGCTCCCGGAGACTTTGAGAAGTTCGTGTGACTGAAAGGGCCCCAACAATTAAAACACAATATTCATTTGAGTTACTAATAGCAATGGCCTCCAACCAGCCAGCGATGGCCTTGAACCTACCAGCGATGGCTTCCAACCTACCAGCGATGGCCTCCAACCCAAGAGCGATGGCATTCAACATATACAATAGCGATGGCCTCCAATCTAGAAGCAATGATCTTGATTTATAATCACCCCTCTTGGGATTCAATAAACTCTTCATACTTGGGTGTTTATTAATCAAGATCCTACCCTACGTCCGTTTCAAAGATGGTTGGGGTGGCTGGATTTGGGGGGTTTGTGCCTTCGAACCTGAGGATATGGGCCAGGACCCCAGGTCGGGGTGGTGAATGGACCAAGTGAATGGACACTACACTCCATCAACAAGGCTTTTCGGGGCTATGAATAGTATATTTTTCAAGTTGTTGTTTGCCAACACAAATTCCAAGTATACGTTTTCATTGTTTTTTAACTTGGAATTTTGAACTTCAAAGCATTGCGAGACCCATGGTGTTGATGCCAGAGAATGCGCTAACATGTTGCTACACCGGAGTGATGCACTGTGCACTACATAATGTAAAATGTGACATATATATTGAAGTGGATCTCAAGAAATACAATGCCATGTTCCAAAGCATCGCTTTGCAGTATCGCCAGGGTGGGCATCTCCTGCCGATGTGCATTGGACAAGAGCCACGCAGTGGCAATTGGCCGCAGGCTGAAAAGTTCAAAAACCCAAACAATTTTTTTGGGGGGCCAAACCAGCACCGCAATACCTTTCAGGTTGGGTTGTCACGTACGTCTTGCACCATCAAATTGTATACATCAACTTTCATCACCTGTCGACTAACTACAAAGAGTTTGTTTCTTATTCTTTTTGTCGGTGAGACACGTTAGTTTGGCTACCTTTTCAGACCAACACCGGTGAACCGGCTGCCGGTGCGGTCTGGCGGTCTGGGTGGGGTGGATCACAGGGCCAGGGTACCTCCCAAAAACCATTTGCTAGAGGCATCCTGAAAAACCGTATTCACCAAGAATTCAAACGGACACCCCGTATGCTTGCTTTGACCAACACCCGAGGCCTCAATGCCACTGGCCTGTGCTCGGGCATCATTGGACGGCCGCTGCAAGCGACACACCTTGGGCGTGAGAAGCAGTAGAGAAAAAAGTAAAGGAACGCACACGTTTGCTTGGGTGGAGACTGGAATTGAGATGGACATGGAAATGGATACTTGTTGATGCTTTCTTTGTTCATCTCCATGCTGCATGTCAAATTAAAATCTCAAAGACAGACAGACACTATAGACTACACAGGCAGTTTTGCTCAAGGCTCTCGATTTGCTTTGGATCTTGGATCACTTTTCGTTTGCTGAGTCATGGCAGCCCCTGGCACACCTCCAGCCCCTGAGTCTCAGGAATTCAGGGACCTGATCTCATCGAAAACCAAGGCTGCGGTCCTGAGTCGTCTTCCCAATGTGTCTCGACATTTGGTGTTTCTGGCCTGCAAATGGATCATGGAGAGCTTTGCCTTCGGCGGGAGTGACTTGACGCCCTCCAGCTTGTCCTTGGTGCTCGCAAAGTCTCATGGCTATCGCCGTCGAGGTGGGTCGAAAGACACCAAGAAGTGGATCAAGGAGATCCTCCGAACGATGCATGAGGAGCCTGGCATTCGATCAGGCACCCACTACGTGGGGCAGCTCACCCTGACGCAGGGTGGAAAGCCAAGCGTCACAGCCAACAAGAATCTCCCATTGACCAAGCAGGGAGCTTTTGTCCTCCTGCAGAGGTTGATGCCTGATCGTGACCGAGTGGACTTCTCCAACATCATGTGGGAGGCGATGAGGTACATGTATGAAGCCTACTCTGCGCTGAAGGCTGAGTATGAGGACTACAAGGCTGACAAAGACCAAGGAATGGCGCAGCAACGAAACGCTGCCGATGCTTTGCTCAATGTGGCCAGCGCAACATTGAACGTGAGCAAGCGGGTTGCGAACATCAAGATCATGCAAAAGGCATTCAAAGAAGGGAGGAGGTGCATGTTGCGAGGGCAACACCCCAAACAGGCCATGATCAAAGCCAACCTCGCAAGGCGTGGTCAGAGAATCCCTGCCGTCCACAACTGTTTCACGCCGTTGGGGGCCTCTGCCGATGCGTTTCGCACCCTCGCAATGGCGACCGTGCTGAACCACGCTCGGCCTGCCATTGCCGAGTTGCACGGTCCCAGGGCGAAGAAGAGGAAGATGGATGAGACCTTCGACACCGTCACCAACCACTTCCTGCGGAACAAGACTTTCGAGCTTCCACTCCTCAGTGAGACCGAACAAACCAAGGCATACTTGGAGAGCCAACACCAAGTAGCAAGGAGGGCCTAGGCGGCTGGCGGAGTCATTGAACTGTTTGCAGCATGTGCAGTAAGCAGCAGATGGTTCACCAACTCATAGCGCCTAGTGTTTTTCCTGCTAGCCTGTTGCAACAAGAGTTGCTTGTACAGGTTCACTTGCAACACTATTTCATGTCTTGTCAATGGAAGCGGTCTGGGCATGCGCATGCCTGGGCCAAAAAAGCTTCCTGCACCCAGGCCGCTTCATGGCCAAAAACCAGGGTTGCTGTTGCTGTTGCACGCTGCGTTTACCTTCTATGGAGAAATCTTCAGAATCTCCTGGCCATGTGGCCACGTTCTAACCGGGTCCCTCCAGGCCGCAGACTCGGTGTGAACGGCTGCAGCTTCCCGATGACACGAGGAAGAGTGCCACGCCATGATGTGCCAGTTTCTGATGAATGGGCCGTGATACATCTCATATTCTGATTCTCTCACTAGTACATTCTAGTGTGGTAGTCATATGTAATGATATGTAATGATCATGTGCATCGATGCAGATCAGTTGATAAACCATCATGGTGATTTGGATACTTTCTATTATTTTTCTATGCATATTGCTCGATGAACGCTTGCGGCGGCTGCCCGACTCCGATGGGCGCAGTGCTGCGATGCCACGGGTATCCAGAGGCCGCCGGCCGGTGTGGCGGACGGTGTTTCAACCGTCCGGGGTTTTGTGGGGCAACACGTAATAAGAGACGAGTTTCTTTATAGTTTCTTTAGTTTGTCCCTTTAGTAAGAGGCTGTTTCACTGAGTCACTGCTTGGAAAAACAGCACTTCGATTGGATCATGTTTTGTTTTAAAGATCTAATTCTCAACCCTTTTTGCCCTTCACTCCTGGTTTCCGGGCTTTACCATTTAAGCTTTTTCGGCATAGATGATCAAAGGGTCGAAGATAGGCAAAGGCAGACATGAAGCGGATTTGCTTTGGAGTCACGTTTCGAAACCCCGAGGCTGAATCTGGGACGGAACGGGTTCAGCCAGCAAGTCGCTGCAAAGCTGGATCAAGTAGGCAGAGAACTGTTATGAACTGTTATTTGAGTATGTTTTGGGTATATCAATTCGATGTTCAAAGGTGACTTCAGGCCAGTTCTGCGTGATGTCTCACTTTCAGGCACACGTTAGTGGCCGGACATGCACGGATGGATCCAGTTGGACACAGCAATAAGCGGTTGTAGAAGTGGCTTTGTATAGACCCTCATTGCAAGGAAACAAGTTGGAACGTTTCACCCCCTGGTTGACATATTTCAGCACCAGCACAACGGAAGGATTGGTTATTGGATGGAACATACATAGGAAGAGGGGTGTCCATAATCCACGGAAAGTGCTGGCAGATGTGTTTAGTCTATGCATGACAGAACTGGCCTTCTTGGTGCAGGCTGCGAACGCCCGTGTCTTTTCCCAGGTCTTACCACCAGTCGACTGGGGCAGGCGCTGATGGCCGCCGTTGGGGGAAGGGCTCTCAAGTTCTCGCTGGGAGGTCACAGACCTCATTGGGAGCTTAGAGACATCGTTGGGGCGGGTTTGCTTCCTGAAACAGGGCTGGTTCCGGTGTTCGCGGACTTCCCGTGGAGTCAAAGCGCAAAAACATGCCAAAAAGGATATGACGGGCCGTTGATTTTAGCGGTCGCTTCTATCAATTCGGAAACAGCCTGGATGATGAGGTTATTCCAGAACGGAGCATACTTTTGGGAGTCCCTTGGATCAAAAGCACGTATATATATATATATATATGAACTACATTTTGAAGGAGATCTTGGGCTTGGCCATCATGTTTGTTCGTTGGAACATCGGTTCATTTTGGACTGGCTAGTCTCATCACTGGGCTGAATCATGATATTGTGAAACAGACATCATCAACAACCCTTTAAGACTTTGGTAAAACTGGTGGACGTCAGTTACAGATGCAGCTCCAAAAAGCTTGCCTTATCCCCCCACATCTACAAAGGACTGAGTCAGAGATCTGTTGACTTTTGGACGCACAGCTGTGAGCGTCTGGCCAGGTGCGTGGCTTCGCATGTCCCAGCGCAGCAGGCAACGGACTTCGGCTGAAATGGAGAAGGGTGCTTTCCGGTGAAGCCAAATGCCCGAGGGGAAGACCCCAAAACTCGGACACTTGCTTGAATGAAATTGAATTCATGGACACCCCCCCAGCTGGGTCGGGTATCAGTCGGCCAGATCATCGGTGGTGTGACAGGGACCTGTGGTTTCACATCCCAGCGGACCTCGCCACGCCGGTCCAGGCTGCCGCGCCTGTCGACGGCTCTTGGGTCTCGGGTCGGGGGCGACCGTGCGGGAGGCCTTTCTGCAAGTGCCTGGGCGGCGTGCGATCCGACGGACACGAAAGACCTGTTCCGCGCGGCGCTTCGACCCGGGCGCGGGGCCACGGGTCGGTCGGGCGGGGCGCGGGCGGGGGTCGCACCGCGGCGTGATGCGAAAGGCACGACGTCCATCACGTCCGGGGTGTAGATTCGATTGGAATCCCGAAGTGGGGATGGGTGGTGGACGGTCCATCCCGGCCTTTTTCGATTTGGAATTTGGAGGGATGATGTCCAAGTACTCCAAGTACCATACCCATTGGGAAACTCACCAGATGGTCAGACTTTGTCAAAGACACAGCAGCGAAGAGAAATGTAGACCACCTTCCAAGGGGTGTCGATCGGTGTCGATCCGAAAACAGACGTGTATATGGGCCTTCCATTATTGGTGACACCTTCGGTGAGGTTCAGGTATGTTCAGGATAGTTTGTGGAAGGGTATTTAGTAGTTCGTACATGTTCGTTTGTGTTCGAAAGAAGAGACGCTTCGTCATCGACGTGGTGTTTGAAGAGACGCTTTTCCTTCGACCCGACCCACTGGGTATTCGACCCTGACAAAAACGTGGACCATCGACACGAACACATATATCCACCTGAAAAAAGCACCTCCCCAAAAAGCACCTGTCGTGGATAGTGTTTCATAGATGCTTTGTGATTGCATACCATTGACCCCTGAAACCACCCCAATGTATGTATGCCAGTCCCATGGAGTGTCTGGAATGCTTTTCAAAGTCACGAATGCGACCTTAGAGACCCCTGTCTCGTTGCTCGAGCATGTAGTGTTGCAGATGCAGCACTATACGTTTAAAGATTTTGAGCTGTTCGAGCTCAGAGTTCTGCGAAAGCTTGATCGACATGCCGACAAATCCCACATGTTAAGCTTGGCTTTGTGAAATACTTTCGATACAGAGGTGGACACAGACACACACACACATACACTTCTCACAGAGCTCTCCCGGAGTCCCGGAGCCCGAACTTGAGGCGGCCTGGCAGCACCACCCAGACTCCCACGCAGTGAAGCGCTGCGGCAACTTTGCAGAGCTTGGCTGGCCCAGAAGTGACCACAGCGATTGGTTGGACTTGAGAGCGGTGGGTTTCCGGATAGAACAGCGCCGAACTCGCATTTGCGGGTTCGGGGCGTTTGAATGGTGAAGAGACTGTTCACCATTGACTGTGAAGTCCAAACACCCAGTGAACTGGGTGTCACGAAGCTGACCCCTTCAGCCAGACTCGTCCAGAAGGTTGGACAATCACCACTACAATCACCTTTTGGAAGGACGAGAATCCTTGCAAGGACATGACCCCTTCCCTCCGTCAAGTGGTGAATGGATGCGCTAGTTCTCAAAGTGTGAGAGTATCGAGTAGCACACTTAGGTGATATGTCGGCTGTGATCGTTTCAACGGCCTAGTTAGACTCAGCTTCTCAATTCGCAATGGTTAGGTTGTTTCGAGCAACCATCAAACAAATGTCCACCGCACACATCAAGTCAGCCGAGGCTGCGACGCTGTTACGAGCTTTTACTTCACTGCTGTGGTGAGGTGCAGGTGGAGGTTGAGGTTTCAGGCAGGGCTGTGCGTCCCTCGCGACGGATTCGTGTGGTAGTCCGAACAATGAAGCACCACGGCCAAACAGGGTGATTTAACTTTTTTCGAGATGCTTTGTGGCCAGTGCTGCCTCTCTTCATCCACATATTCCCGCTTTGCCACGTACTCCAGTAAAGAGAACATTAATGTCACTCGCCGCAGACTTCCACTATCTAGACGTACGTCGCAGCTGGGGTTTTGGTGCTCAACATCCCTGATGTCAACGTGGTCAGTGCATGGAGCCCATTTGTGCTCAGGTTCATAGAGCATGGTTCACTTGGTTTTGCATAGAGCCTGCAGATTAAATCACATGCTTGGACCCTCAAAACCACTGAGTTGTATGAGGAAGATCTTCCATGCAGGGGGGCAATTTTCAGGGCCCATCTTCCTTTGCAGGTGGTATTTACAATGTATTTACCTTGTTGATCACCAGGCGAGAAGGCGAACAGCTGGCTGGAGGTGCAAGAGGAGCCTGTTCGGGAAGGCTGGAGCGCCCCTTGTTCATGAGGAGTGAAGAAACGGTTTCCTTAGTATTCCTTAGTGGATAGTGTAGACCTTTGATCAATGATGGCTTTGTGGTGGTGGTGGTTGTTGTTGTTGTTGCTGCTGCTGCTGCTGTTTCGGCTGTTTCATCGCACTTGGTTGTTTCAACATTGTGTTGCGGCCCGCATGCATGCACACTGACTGACGCGTCTTTCGATTTAAAAAGCTCCATGGTTGTCACCACGGCGGGAAGAAGAAGGAAAAGAACTCCTGCATGGTTTGATTCAGTGCACCAAGCCAACCAGCTCCAGATGTGTTCTAGACAAGAATTGCAAAAGGTTGCAACGGATTCAACCTTATTAACATCCAGGAACAACATGCAGATCACAGTGCCAGAGGCCTGCGGTGATTTGTTTTCCGACAGAGCTTCTGTGGCTTCCGAAATGTGCACTTTTGCATGTTTGTCTCAGCTACATTCTGAGAAGCCAAACATCCAAAGTTACATCGAAAGAGCTTCTCAGCTACATTTTGCTTAGCTTCTGTTTGATCTTTCTGTGACCCCAAAGGAAGGCAACCACAACGGCGAGCCGATGCGAGCCGCGTGTCTCGGTGAGGAGCGAACCTTACCCAAAAGGGCGGTTCACCGCCCAGGCCGGGCAGGTCCAAGGCGGAAACAAGGCGGAACCTCCGGGAAGGCCCCCAACAAAACGGCTGAGACATCCTTCAATGTAGAATCTTCATTGATTGATTAACCAAGAAAAAACATATAAAAACTATTGAACACAAAACATAGAGGTTTTTCAATCCAAATTGGGCGTGGGTTATTCCTCAAGATTCTACGTGACGAAAACATGGCTAAGGTCACCAAGATCCTCCAGATGTGCCGCTGGAAGTGAATGAAACGGAACATGTGGAACATGAAGATCCCTTTCATCCATTCGGAGGGCACAATATGGATGGTAAGGTCAATTGGGGAAGCCTAAGGGATCGAATGGTTTTCCAAACTTGAATAGAAGAGGTGGGAGTCCAAGTTGAAGATTCTGTTGAGGTAAGGAATTTAGTTGTTCATCATGTTGATGAGACGAAGGCGTGTTCATGCTTTATCTTGTTTTTGAGTTTTCAATTAGGTCACCAGGTGTTGATATGAACATTTCAAGATTTCAGCTGGCTGAAGTGGTATTCCTACACTCCCCCCAAACTTGCCTAGCTTCCACCGTCTCAGACCAGAGGAAGTACCACTCTTTCGTTTTGAGTGGCAGCCTGTCAGTGGCAGCTTCTGAGATACACATCTGGCTCGGCTTCTCCACGCGCTGAAACAGCGTCCGCGTGGGCGCCCGCGTCCAACAGGACGCCCCCAGGTCCGCTCGGTGAGGACGGTGGACCAGGTCGGGGCCGCCGAAGGGGAGGGGAGGACCTCCCAGGTGTTCCGACCCACCTGGAAGAAGGACGATATAGACCAACAGTATCCAAAACCCCTTGGGGCCACGCTGTCTCCCTAAACACTGATACGCTGCCGCAGGCAGGTGTCCCTGCAACACTCATGGTGAAAGTGGATGGAAAACGGCCCTGATTTCGGATGACCGTTTTCCATCCGAAGACCAAACAGGGGGTGAACTCTACGATCCCCCCATGCTGATTCCAGTGTATCTGATCTGCACCTAGATCTTGAGAAAGTCGAGTGGCAACAGCCCATCCTCAGAGATGCATTGAGGGTGCCCATCTTGGAAGTGTGGAGGTCCAAGAAGACCCTGGATGAACAAAGGACCTAAGGAACAAACCTACACAGTTGATTAAATTAAGCATGTTTAAGCAAAGAACCACAAAAACACAAACATCAGGCGACGGATGTTAGATGGATCTTGAATGATGTTCATGATGCTTTTGCTGCACCTTCCAAACGAAAAGGTTGAATGCTCGCCTCAGGTCCATCGCCGCGTCGCGAACGTGGCTGAGGGCCCAGACGCCTTGGAGGCCACGATGGGGTCCTGCACGTGCTGAGAGGCTGCAGATTCATCACGGATTGCAGGAGACCTGTCGGAACGACAGGGACAATGAGACCTTCAGACCCAAAACGTCCAGACCCAAAACGTCCATCGACCCAAAACGCTCCTTTCATAGTCATGGTCATCGGGCAAACGTCCATCGACCTCCTCTCCACCAGCTCCATCTCACCACCTCGGCGGAACCTGCGCAGGTTCAGTTGGATCTGCAGCTCGACAGTCCGCTCCCACGCTTCCTTTGGGCGGCTGCTGCAGAGCACGGCGGCCACACGACTGCTATCAGCTGCAGAGCAGAAGTGGGAATAGGTGATGGGTGGTAGTATGATGTAGTATGTGGTTGTGGATGGTAGTGGTGCACTGTTGGAGTTTGGAGTGTGTCTTTTTTGAATGTTTGAGTGCGACAATATGTGCCTGGAGATTCATTCATCTAGTGGTTTCCGCTTATTCAGCGTTTTGGGGAAGCCAGCGATACGCTCTTCCACTTGATTCCACCATCTCAAAACACTGCCAAAAAGGACTCTTCTGCGTTTTTGTTTCGGCTTTGACCGCGTTTCTTGCGGGTTGTGCCACTATACTTGGAACCGTTGTTTGGTGCCAACCATGCGGAAGATCCACAAACCCGATGGTCACGGTACTGATTGCAGGTTTATCCTCAGAGAACCTCTGGTGCGCAGAGTTCAGCATGCGATGTAAAACGACCAAAGTGGTGGAGTCGAGAGTGGTTTTTGCAATGGAGTAGTGGACATCATATTTATTCAATATTCACTAAGATGTTGTAAGTTCGATCATTTCTTGACATTTTGAACACGTTGTTCCGTTGCCCTGGGGCTCCAACCATATCCTCAAGTAAGGTGGACCCCCGTGGCACCCACTCCCATCTTCGAAACGGATGGGGCGGCCAGCCCAAGCTGCTCGCGTTGAACACCTTTCCATCTTTCCGGTCCTGGGGACTGGGGGCGCACCCAGTCACCAGGCTTTGGCCCTTACAGCCGCTTCAAGTTTTGTGGTTCCTATCGCCGAGCTCAAGACTTTAATGCTCGGCACCCAGCCGGTTCCGCCGGTGTCCGGTGTCCGAACCGGGGAAGCCGTCAGAGTGACGGTGTCCGCGGCGTGGACCGGTGACGCGCCAAAGGAAGGGGAGTCCTCCGGCGACGGTATCGGTGTGTGCGCGAAAACACCAGAGAACCAACTTGCACAAAGCAAGCCACGGAGGTTGAAAGACCCTATAGACATGGACTATATCCCATATAGATAGGTACCGCAGTTGTGGTCCTATAATTCCTATAAGGTCACCTGACCTCTCCCGGAAACAAAGCAAGCAAATCAAGACCTTTGAGCCTCACAAATCCCCATGAGCGCCGATTCACGTGTTTTCCATCAAACGTGTTTTCCGTCAAACGTGCAACCCACCCCCAGCAGTGGTCAGGGAATCCTGTCGTGTGAAAAAGACGCGCTTCTGAAAGCTTCTTGTGGCAAGGGCAGGAAGCAAAAAGACAAGCAACACCTAACATACATCCTAGTACTTGTCAAACTTGTCAAACTTGCGTCAAGATGGGCCCACACCCAGACTCCTGCAATGCTGAAACATACTTGGAGAGCTTTCAATCAGACGGGGACAGACCAGTTGCTGGCATGCCCTGTTGCTGGGAGTCCGTGTTTGTAGGTAGAACGTCTCACTATTTGACCGTCTCAGATAGTCTCAGTACATATTCCCACTCTTGTTTAAGAAGAATGTTTTAGTTTAACCAGGGGCAGGCGCAGGGGTCGTAAACAAAGACATCCGTGGGCCATATTTTGTTGTGTTTCTTGGACAACAACAGCAGGTTTATTTGTCCTGCAAACCTGGGCAACAAAGTTATAGCCGCTGTATAGCCTTTTCCATTCCAGCGCTGAGTCATTCAATGGAAGTCATTCAATACAATACATCCACAGGCTGAATTTGATGCAATGACGACTCATTTATATGTTTGTTCTATTCTAATTTCTAATGATTAAACAGGGGTCCATGTCACTTCAACGACATGGACAAACACGGAACGAGGACGTTGATGTCAGTTTGTCGCCACCTGTGCCCGCCATAGCGATGGATTTGGAGCCCGTTTTGTTTCCTTTCATCGACGTGTTTGGGCAATGTTTGATCACCTCTAGGCTCTCACTGCCAAAGAGCCTTTGGGGCAGTGAGCTTTGGAAGAGTGACACCGTCCCGGACGAGCAATGGGAACTTGGACCAATTCTGCCCATCGTTCCAAGCGATTCTTAATGTCCATTGTTGTCAGGTTTGATGTCACTTGAGTAAGTTTTCAGATGAGCAAGGCAAAACACTTCCCAAGATGAACTAAGTAAAGGCCTTGTCATATGGAACTTGGGCGTAAGCAAAAACCTGAAAAGCGCCAGGTTGTGTAAGGGAGTTGTGAGACATGCATGTTGCGTAAGCTTGCCATATGGTCGTGTATTTAGCCCAGCTCAGATGTTTTGAGTAACAAACTGGTTCAAATCCTGTTAAACTTACTAAGTTCAACTGTGAAATGTTCACAAACTAAATTAACCAAACTAACTAACAATCTGCAATCATGTTCAACTAAGTTTGGTTTGTTGTCCCCTAATGCGGCAGCCGGCCCACAAGCAAGCCTCAGTCGGCTAAGATCGTCAGATCAAGGTAGCCTTAGTAGGTACTGGCCCAAGATCCAGCGACGCTTAGGAAGGAGAGCCTGAGGACTCACTGCCATCTCAACGCTGGCCTAATTCCTATATATAGTAATAAGTGCATCGCTACCAACCAGGGCATTATTCCGAATCACAAGTGCATTGCTACTTGTCTTACGGATGGTTTTTCCTTCCATACGTCGGAAAAGCGGTGCTCGTTTTCCGTGCTAACCGGAACCAGGAACGACGTCTTCCGTCCGAGAAAGGCACAGTGAGGCTCTCTGGTTCCAGAGAACCACTAAAGTTGGGTGGCTTTGGATACGAAGTGAACCAGTGCGCGGCAGTGCCGCAGTGCTGACAAGGTGGGCGTTGGACGCCAGGTCTGTATCTCACGTCTCCACATCGGTCCCTCTTTTTTGAACAACGCTCCTTTTCCCGGCTCTAGACTACAGTGCACTGAAATGAGTGAACTCAAGCAAGCAACTGCCCAGCGCAGGCCGGACCCACCAAAGTGAAAGGATGCATACTGCTCTTGATAGCCTTCAAGGAAGGACTATCGAAGAAATCCGAGTTTGCCAACGCTCGGGCGCATACACAGCTTGACGAAGCCAGTCCATCCAACATAGGCCGGATTTGCTGGCCGCCCATGGATTGACCGCCAGGACGGGTTCCATGCCCTGATACAGCTTTGACAGTAGCTAGCCCACGCCCTACAGTAGCTCTCCAGAAAGTCAAAGAGATTGCCATCCTCATTCCAACATTCTCCGTTTTTTGCCGGGAGGCCCTCTTCACATCAACGATCTCCAATGCATGTCATCGCGGCCAGACAGCACAGCCACCGTGCCGGCTAGGCATCCTGTTTTGGTGAAGGTCGTCCAATGCCAGATTCTGGGCACATGTGGCGGGCATCGTTACGCTATCACTGCGGCTACACTGGTGCACAAGCACCACGCATGATGCTTAAGGCCGACTGGATGCCATGTGTGTACGCCAACAGCTGCCCATCCACTGATTATAGTACTTATAGTTTGTCAAACGCATGTGGGCCGTTTCAGGTCTGAACTGCCCGCATGGAATTGAACTGGTTGCATGTGCTTTTAGCTGCCACCTTCACATTTGGGATGTGGAGTCAGCATCTTCTGGGGTAAACATGTGGCCAGATACCAAAACATATGAAGAACGACAAGGACTCTCCAAGCACCGAGTGTGTGATTTTGACACTTTGCAAGGCTTGAAAATGATTCTGGCAGGCAAGTAATTGTGAGGCCTTCGCAATATGAAAGACTTTCCAAAAGCCTTTCAGCTAAAGCACCTCAAGATCCCTCACAAGACATGTTCTCTTGACTAGCTTTGCAAGGCAAACTTCCAGTGCAGAACCCATTTCCCGAATGTTTCCCATCAATTGACAAGCATCTTGTAGTTGAGACAAGTCTTTGCGCGGAGGCTTGAAGCTTGGACTCTAGAGAACCATACCCAGACACTCCATGGGACTGGTATATTGACCTACATTAGGGTAGTGGTCTGAGAGGTCAACGGGGCGGCATATATATGACAGACCGTCGGTGTCTGGGAGTCAGCTCGGTCTTTCGATGTCGCGGAGTCTCAAGTCTTCCAATGCATGGGTCACTGTGGGAGTCAGACAGCGTAGCCGCCATTCTGCCATTCCGGCAAGGCACCCTGTGAAGATGTGAAGGTTATCGAATGTCAGGTTGTGGGTTTGCTGGGTCACGATGGACAAGTTCTTTCCACTGTTGAGCCATCACACCCGCGACACTTGTGCTGCAGCACACAGGATGTTCATGAGCAGATGGATGCTATAAGTGTACGTTAACAGCTGCCCAAATACTTGCAGGTCTACAGGGATTCTCTCATGTTCCATTGCCAGGTTTATTTTTGTGACGAGCAGTTCGACCATGTATGGATTTAGTCCTTGTTTAAAGGGTTCTTCCTACATTAACTGCTTTGGTCAGGGAACACAAAGATAGTACAAAGACCTTGTACGTGTGATCCAGCAATCTCCCACTCACTTGCTTTTGTGTCTCAATCTTCCAGCAATCCTGGCCACCAGCACGAGCAATCACTTCAAATTTGCTCAGATCTATATGGCACCAGTGACTAGTTTGTCAAACGCATGTGGGCCGTTTCAGGTCTGAACTGCCCGCATGGAATTGAACTGGTTGCATGTGCTTTTAGCTGCCACCTTCACATTTGGGATGTGGAGTCAGCATCTTCTGGGGTAAACATGTGGCCAGATACCAAAAAATATGAAGAACGACAAGGACTCTCCAAGCACCGAGTGTGTGATTTTGACACTTTGCAAGGCTTGAAAATGATTCTGGCAGGCAAGTAATTGTGAGGCCTTCGCAATATGAAAGACTTTCCAAAAGCCTTTCAACTAAAGCACCTCAAGATCCCTCACAAGACAAGTTCTCTTGACTAGCTTTGCAAGGCAAACTTCCAGTGCAGAACCGTTTTCCCGAATGTTTCTCATAAATTGACAAGCGCGTGCCATGATGCTTTGTAGTTGAGTCAAGTATTTGCAAAGCTTGGCGGTGCCATGATACTTTGGTTCTAGAGAACCATTCCTAGGTCTTGCCTCAAGTCTTCAATTCAACTTTGACTATCTCCAATGTAGGTGTCACTGCGGGAGTCAGACAGCTATGCTCTTCGCTTTAGATAGGAGCACTTTAGTTAGGAACATCAAAATTTGGGAGATCGGAGTGTTCGGTGACGATTGGCCACTTAATAGCCTTCTTGGTCGCGACACCGGTGCTTGCTCACACCACTTCGTCCAGATGGCCAGCTGCCCGGGCTTAGAGTTTTTCAGTTGTTTTTGACCAGACAGCCCACACCACATCCAGGACATACAAACTATAATATAGATAGTTTCTTAAATGTGTATGGAGGGAACGCGTATGTTTTGAATGTTAAGTGTATTTGGTTACCACCATCGCATGGGGAATGGTGAGTGTTTCTTTGTTTCCCAGGTGATCCAGCTTACTTTCAGCCGCTTCAGCCAACAAACTTTGATAAACCAGAGTCAACTTCAGACAAAGCGGTCTTCGATTGTGCCGCTTTTGTTTGTGCCCTTGTCCGGAGATGCTTTGTTGTTGGAACGTGAAGCTGGCCAGGAAGCAAACTTTAAGGATATCTTTGCTACAACTCCCCCATCAAAAATGTACCAAATCAATAAGCGTCAGTAAGTGTACAAGGTTTTTTGCACATGCGTTTTGCTTAGTTGCTCCTTTCTACCCAGTCTTTTGGTTGTTTTGAGGATCTGTTCATGCACATGCTTGATGACTCCCCTGCAGCACCATGGACAAGAAACATTGGCATGCTTACAACGAGTGTATCGTAGCTTAGGTAGCCAGCCGATATCAACATGCTTTGGCATGGTAGCATCACGTGCCATGGCACGCATGAGGTATGGTCAAGCGCCCTCTGCACAGGGCCTACAGCATAAGAGATGATGGGCACCGGATCTGGAGATGCAGAGGCCTTGGGCCGCACAAAATATGAAGACCTCGCACCCAAAATGATATCACACACAAAACCTGAAAGACGACAAGACTCTCATCAAA